TACATTAACGTAGCAAACACTAACTCAAATCCCATTCAGTGTACAAAACATTCTTCATTTTTTTTGTCCCCAGAATCCCTTTTCACCCATCCCCACTCCCAAACACACGTGACGAGATAAGTCTCTCTGAAAATACTTACCAAACACGCTAGAAATACAGACACTTCAAACACAAACCGGCTTACATACCCCACCCTGACGACTTGGACTCCATACTAGAGCCAAAGCTGGAGTTAAACCCACTACCGCTAGAGTTAGAGCCGGAGCCCCAGCCGAGAGCGGCCGAGCTGCTGCCGTAGTTGCTGTTGCCTGAGCTGTATGTCTGGGTCTGGTCCCGAGTGGAACTCGTGCCGCTTGTGCTCGTGCCAGATGTTGCCGACTGACCCTGCTGCGCTAACATTCCCATCATACCCCAACTGCTCTGCAGGGCGGCCTGGGCGGCAGCCATCATGGCTGGGTTGAGGTTAAAATTGCCGAAATTTCCCAAGCTGCTGGAGCTACCCCCCATGCTGCTACGGTTGCCTCCGAAACCCTGACCTCCGAACCCATTCCCAAAGCGCCCTGCCCGCTCCATCATCTGCCTAGTGTTGTTGTGCTTTGGCTCAGCGTTGGAGATGTGCACGCTGATGCCCTTGATGATCAGATCTTCTCCGCAAAGGGAGGCAGCAACCTGGGAAACATAGAAAATCTTAATTATGCATGAACAGCTGATTTCTCCATGCAGAGTAGAATATTAAACACAATAAATTCCTGAAAGCTGCAAATGTAAAGGCAAACTCTCGTATCAAGAAAAAAATAATCACCACAAACAAGACCTTTAATTGAGCATGTTCAAACAAAGAGCAAATTCAACTTGTCATATGGGCTGTATCTCACATTAAAGGGGTCATATGACGTTGCTAAAAATAACATTATGTTGTGTATTTGGTGTAATGCAATGTGTTTATGTGGTTTAAGGTTCAAAAAACACATTATTTTCCACATACTGTACATTATTGTTTCTCCTCTATGCGCCGCCTTTCTGAAAACGCATCGACAAAGCTCATCGTTCTGAAAAGCGAGGTGTGCTGTGATTGGCCAGGGGCTAGAGTGAGGAACGGCTGGTGGGCTTGAGAATGGCGTGGCCGGCGGGCTTGACCAGCACGGATCAGCTCTAGGCATGACGAAGCGGATATCGTCCTCTTTTGGAAGGCCAAACAAAGTAGTTTCGCTTTCACAACAAAACACAGCATCTCCACAACAATGACGGCGGCAACAACAATACTACAGCGAGAATAAAAGCTACGCCTTCTTCCTTTGCGTGAACATTTAGGCGGCATTATGCAAATCTTCCTACATCGTGACGTAGTTCTTTCTTTGCGTGAACATTTGGGTGGTGCTATGCAAATCTTCCCAGATAGTGACGTAGACATGTGGGGGCGTATTTAAACGAGGCGTTTTAGGAGGGTGTGGACAAGTCTTAATTTTTATAAAGAATATCTCTTTGGGTTTGAGACTTTAGTCTTTGCAACTTTAGGGATCTTATCTATGCACGAACAGCTTGTAACACTCCAAAGAGAAAGGAAAACTTGAAATTGCATCATATGACCCCTTTAAAGCATGCACATTTTTATTTAATTTTTGTTAGGAAAATAACTTCCTTTGTCAATTTGTTGCAGTTGTTTTCTTTTCATTTTATTTTTGTGAACGGGTTTATCACCTTAAAATCGATGTGAAAACAACAATAGCTTACCTGGTCATCTGCAAAGGTGACAAAAGCGAACGCTCTGAAAGGTTTAGGAATGAAAACATCTGTGACCTCCCCAAACTGCATGAAGAACTGACGGAGCTCATCAGCGGTCATGTCCTCCGTGCAACGGCCCACAAACACTTTCCTGCTCCTCATTGGTTCATCTGGACCTTGCTGTTAAATATTCAAACAGATCACTCAGTTTAGCACCCCAAAAAGAGAAAACCTGACATTTCTTTCATAAATGGCTAACTGATTTAAAGTATCATATATAATTCATCATATACACTACTGATCAAAAGTGACATCAGGAAGACTTTTTTTTTTATTCAGCTTGGGTTCATTAAATTGATCAAAAGTAACAAAAAACAAATTTACAATGTTACAAAACTACATTTTGAAAGTGTTTTAGTTTCCAAAAGCAATATTGAGCAGTGCAACCATTGATAATAAATTACTAATAATAAGAAATGATTCTTGAGCATCGAATCAGCATATTAGATTGATTTCTAAAGGATCATGTGACACTGAAGACTGGAGAAATGGCTGCTAACAATTCAGTTTTGCCAATACAGGAATAAATTACATTTTAAAATATAATAGGTTTTTTACATTGTAATAATATTTCACAATACTACTGTTTTACTGTAAATTTGATCAAACAAATGCAACCTTCATGGGCATTAGAGACTTCTTTCAAAAATATTTTAAAATAAATCTCACACCAAACTTTTAAATGGTAGTGTAAAAAAAAAAAAACACTGACCTTTGAGTTGGGTAGTTTGCAGTCACACCACCTGCCATCAATCATGTGCCGCTGTGATATCACCTTACCCTGAGACTCCCACTCTGTAAACCTCACAAACCCAAATCCTTTTGAATTTCCCGTCTTCACGTCCCGCTTCACCTAATGTAACAGAATCAAGTCAAGAGCTGCGTTCATACCAGATCTAATCTGACTTCATGACTGACAGCTGAGCCCAGTTCTATTTTTAAAAGCCACATAAAAAGTTAGAAACATTAGACACAGAGACAGAAATCATGGGTAGCTTTCACCAAAACATGGCAGTACAAAGACAATCACAGCTGGAGTGTTACATTTACGTCAGTATATCTTACCTGCACCATGATGACTTCCCCAAACGTACTGAAGTAGTCTTTTAAGTCTTGTTCTGAAGTCTTCCATGGCAGACCCAGCACAATCAGATCTGAAGTCTTCTGATCTCCTCTCTTGATCTTCGTTGCAGATGAAGCATCGATCTCATCCATCTTCCTCTTATTATCCGGCAGAACCGTTTCTAGAAAAGAAAAGTTCACTTGTTACATGTTCACACATCTGCATAATGTCAATCACCCTTCATGAAACAAAAACAACCCCATTAAATCAAGTTGAGCTGGATTTTTTTTTTTACAACTCAAGATAGAAACACAGAAGCACAAATGTTTCCATCATCCGACTGTGCTGCTCAACTTTGCTTATTATAACATACAAGCTCAATGTTTAAGTACAATGTTAGGCACATGCCTAAATTAACCCTAAAATGCATACAAAAATTACCCCTATTCTTGATGTTTCTAGGGGGAGAAGTTAGGGTTAATGATGGCATTTCATATTATAAAACGTGCTTTTGACAATTATTAGAAACTTTTTTCATATTTATATTCTAAACTGAGACAGAGGCTAATTCGTAATGACCATATGACCTACCTTTGGGATAATTTACCACATAGACCAGGTTTCCCCAGCCGTTCTCGGGGGCGTGTAGGATTCCGTCCACAAGGCGTACCCCCCTCATGCACTGAGACACTGGGCTCCGGTAACGCAGGCCACAAGCCCCTGGAAACTGAGCGGCCACCGTGGACAGCAGCACCGTCCCGTCGTCCTCCGACGGGATCTCCATCGGCTCCTCGTTCTCCTCCTCCGCGATGCGAATGTACATCTCGGCCATCTCTCCTCAATTGAGCTGTTGGGGAGTAAATAGTATAATGAGTGGCGCTTCCTTCGTGAAAGAATCAGTATTTTTGAGCGAATCTATCTCAGTCACTTTGATTCATAAATCTGACTGTTTTCCTGTAATCAAACACTGGCTATAGCGAACCAATAGCAATCGAGTGCAGGCTGTGAAGGAGCTGTATCATTGGTTGGACGTGACCAACGACCACGCCCCCTTCACTAAACGAGTCGGTGTTTTATGAATTAGAGTCAAAACAGCACTGATCTCCTTCGTGAACGAAATGTTATTGACACTCACAATTCAAATCACTATTATTGTTAAAATAACGTGTGCATTGTGGTCATTTGTTTGGAAATTTGTTATACTTAGTACTAGAGGTCGACCGATGTATCGGCTTTGCCGATTAATCGGCACCGATAGTTGATTGCTGGAACTATCGGTTATCGGCAAAAATCCATGCCGATAGTTTTCCGGGTTGCATCCGTTGCTGGAGTGGCTGAGAAGGGTCACTGACAGCATGTGCTATTTGTTTAGACACGTGATACTGCACGCTGAACAGAGCGGGAAACCTCAGACGTGGATTTAAATGCAGCCGACAGAAAATCCTGCCACGCCACAGATCACCATTCACATAGTTTTCCATTAAATTACATTATATTTGTCCCGAATTGTTGTTAATGTACATAATGAATTGTGTATTGTGCATTTTCAGCAAAACGTTTGTCTTTCTGTGGCTCTAATAAAGTCTGTATGCTTCATTTATTGAGCTATAATATAGATCGCGCTTTCTCTTTCCGTTTGCTCCATTTTTTAAACACCGAACTTCAAACTCATCTATGCCTCATTGTTCATTCTTGAAGTAAACTTGTGTCCGTTTGGTGATTAAATAAACTGTTTTAAGACCGCTGCTCGAGTTGAATGCGACGCGTCCGGAGTGTGTGTGATACCGGTGAGTTCTCCTAGACTCAGCACTGCGCTTTTATTTTGAATTAATTTTGATTAGATAATCAAGTGTTCAAGAACAGAAGCAGTTAAAAGTGTGAGAGTATACATACAATATCCATATGTATATCATTTTAATGCTATGGCCTTTGTGTATATATTTAAAGATGTGCATCTTTAAGCATGGCTGTTGAAATTAAATGGTAACACTTTAAAATAAGAGTCCATTTGTAACATTAAGATTAATGAAAGCTTTGTAAATATTGGTCCTTGTTAGAGTGTTCATTTCAACATTTACTATTACTATTATTAATATTACTATTACTACTAGTATGGTTCAGTACTGTTTTTTTTAATAAAGCACTATTTTAGTTTTTGTTCAGTATCCATTTTAAAAACTATCGGTTAATTAATCGGTATCGGCCAGTGTGGTCCAACCTAGCTATCGGTATCGGCAAAATCCACTATCGGTCGACCTCTACTTAGTACATTAGATGTAGATATGTCGAAACGAATTCTAATACAGAATAACAATAATAATAACAACAACAACAACTATAGTAGTAGCGGCGTATAAGTTTCGTTAAGCGAATAATTCAATGACTTGTCATCACCATGAAAATATCAAAAAGTGTCACAGAATGAATCTTTTGAGCGAACCGAATTAAAAGATTCGAATCGCCGAGATGAATCAAAATCCCTTCCACTAGTTGTAATGTGAGCTGGCCGTGCGCGCGACTTCAGTAATTAGCGCGTGCAAACAACACGCGAATCCTTATTGCTTAGCAACAGTAAAATACGGCATCAGCAGACCACTAATAGGTCGATATGCGGTCTAGATACATATTAATGTATGTGTTATAGTGAAAAAAAATCAAATAACATTACCAATGAACAACTGCTCGGATCCAGATATTCCTTTGTTAGCGCCACTAGCAGCAGCGCTCCCCGTTCAGAAAAATGTGACTGCTCGGAATGAATGAGCCACTAAACAAAACTCTCTCGGAAAATGACACTCTTAACAGTGTCGGTTTCTGTTCTAATCAGAATAAAGCAAAATATTGCAATCTCTGTATACTATATAAAGACGATAATACTCCGTTTTATACAACTCATGCGACACTATTTTCGTATCAAGATGGCATTACCTAAGTCATGAAGGAAATACGTCACACGTGGGCGAGCTCATTTTTTCATGTGCACGGGTGGAGAAAAGGGAAAAAAACATTGTTGGTGTGCAATCATGTTTGCTTTGCTGGTGATATATATATACGTACAATGTAATTACATAAAGTGTTATTTCTGAACAATTTAATTGCAACAAAGATTCCGGTGTCATTTGTGTAACAGAACACTTTACTGACGAAAGCAGAAGCACCTCTCCCTGTGTAATAGTGGACTGCTCTCATAGATATAGTGCTCCTAAGTGGCAGATATGAGTATAGCATCCATGTTATTTACTCGAGATGTTCAGTGATGGGGTAAGCAGAAGTTAAAGTACTAAAATAGTTTTTGTCTAGTGTCTTTTACATTTAAAAGCGCCTCCTAAATGATTAAATGTAAAAGACGACTTACCATGTTAAGGCAGTAATCACAGCTCGTTTCTTCCCAAATGAAATTAAAGATATTTTTGCTTCTCCTGTTCGCTTAATAGTGATATCGTGATAGAAGAAAAACATGTAATAATGCTAATTTGACTTCATTGTAAAACACCCGTTTTAAAAGTCCAACAGTATATTAAAACACAAAATATATGATGGGGACATTAAAATGTATTGCATTGTTGGAATAAATCTGATATACCTTTTCATTTTTTTAAATAAACAACATTAAAGATTTGTAATATGCATACTGTTTATTATCCATAGCCAAAATATAATAAATAATATTTAAAAAAAAAAACATTCCAAATGTTGATCCTGATTGTTCAGCGCTATGTATCAGTAAACATCTTCATCAGAGTCGTTTCATTGACTAGACATGATCATTTTAGATTTAAGAGGTTGTTTAACCTTTTCAAGTAGTTTTCAGTTAAGATATTTATATGAATTCCAAATATGTTATGTAATGATTTAACTAGAACGGTCACCATTCCAAGAAAGAGTCATCTTTCCAAGTAAAATGCTTGTAACTCAAATAAAGGAAACAAGACATTTTTGATCAATATCTTTATATATTACAAAACAATAGAAATGCTACTGATAACAATATATGTTCACAGTTGCTGTTATGATACCACACTGAAATAATGTATATAAGTTAGACATAAAATGGCATATCTTAATAAATAAAAAAAAGAACATTAATCTAACAAGTCACAATGCTTGACGGTTAAAAGTCGCATCATTATGAGCATTAAGTTGGAGTTTTTCTGTGTAGTTTTCATGGGTATGAGGCTGATGTGTGTGTTAATGTGCTGTCGCTGATCACCCTCACAAGTCTGTAGACTTTTTCGGCATGAATAAAGTGATACTCAGAAACGTTTTCAACACAATTATCAATAATCAGCTAGGCATCAAGTAGTAACACTGACAGTGTAGTGCAAAGTAGACTGTGTGTGTGCGTGTGTGTGTGTGTGTGTCTGTGTTTTGGAGAGCAGGTTGTGGCGCTCAGCAGGATAACAAAAAGCAGCAAAAATAAATATCAAAAGAATTTATTTTTATCAGTATATAAAAGCTCTTTTTTTTTTTTTTTCATTTCACCAAGAGTCTGGGGAAAAAAGGCCTCATGGAAAGTTCAAGGAACCGCTTTGTTCCATTTCATTTTCCGGGAACTTCACACCAAGGACTCCATGCTCTCAGCCTGGTTGGATTCATCTGTTTCCACTATCCCAGCAATTTTGTCCATGTAGTTAAAGCCAAGTCTGAAGTCTTTACTGCTGACAAGGCTGAGCATAGCCTTGTAAAGGTAGTGATAGTGCTCCTAAAAGAGGTAGAGAGAAATAGTAAAAAAAGGAAATAAACACAATGAAGGAAAATAACATTTTGGAACTCCAACCGTACTGCGTCAAACTTCTACACAAAACCCCAACGACCTCTCTTTAATTTAATTCATCATCAAGCAGACTTGTATTATGAGGAACTTACAATTTCAGTGAAGACGCCAGGCCTCATGAGGTTAATCATTTTGGCCACTTGATAGACATCCACAGCACTCTCGTTCTCCAGTTGTTGGGAAAGTGTGGTCAAAGCACAGAACATCCCGGATGAGACAGCTCCAAACCTGAAACACACAATCCATGAGGCTCTCTCTCCCTCTGGTTACATGCACTACTACTCTTGGTTCATGCACTCACTCATCATGCACGATGGTGGGACCATCCCTTGTCATGGCCTCTTCTTTGATGATGTTGATAAGTTCAAATGTGCTGCTGATGGACGCATCAGGATCTGGCCAGTTTGGACACTGGAAATGTCGGACTTCTAGAACATAGTCGTCCTGCACAGCAAAGATAAAACAGTTAATCAACCAACAAGTGCAGCTAAAATGGGCTGGTTGCTTTCAATTTTAATGGTAAAGCAGAAACTTAGAACATTAGATCAAGTACCTAGCTGTTGTTTTTTTAAGATCTATCTATCTATCTATCTATCTATCTATCTATCTATCTATCCATCCATCCATCCATCCATCCATCCATCCCTTTTTATGTTTTTGAAAGAAGTTTCTTAATCTCACTAAGATTGCTAAAATAAAAATAGTAATACTCATCCATCCATCCATCCATCCATCCATCCCTTTTTATGTTTTTGAAAGAAGTTTCTTAATCTCACTAAGATTGCTAAAATAAAAATAGTAATACTGTGAAACCTTGAAATTCAAAATAACAGTTTTCTATTTTAATATATGTGACCGTGGACCACAAAACCAGTCATAAGGGGATTTATACATCATCTGAAAGCTGAATAAATAAGCTTTCCATTGATGTATGGTTTGTTAGGATAGGGCAATATTTGGCAGAGATACAACTATTTGAAAATCTGGAATCTGAGGGTGCAAAAAAAAACAACAACAATACAGAGAAAATCGCCTATAAAGTTGTCCAAATGAAGTTCTTAGCAATGCATATTACTAATCAAAAATTAAGTTTTGATATATTTATGGTAGGAAATTTACAAAATATCTTCATGGAACATGATCTTTACTTAATATCCTAATGATTTTTGGCATAAAATAAAAATCTATAATTTTGACCCATACAATGTACAGTATTTTTTTCAATGCTCTAGTCTTCAGTGTCACATGATTTTTCAGAAATCATTCTAATATGTTGAATTGGTGCTCAAGAAACATTTCTTATTATTAATGTTGAAAACATTAAACATTTAAAAAAAACTTTCATAACCTTATAAATGTCTTTTCTGTCTCTTTTGATAAATTTAATGGATCCTTGCACTATATATTATATACTTACATATTTTGTAGGTTATTTATTTTCCTGCTTAGTAATACTATGATTCAATTAATAAGAAAATTAAGAAACAAATCAACAAAAATCAAAAAGAAAAACAACAAAAAAGTACATAATTTTTTTTTTTTAAAAAGGACACAAATATAAGAATTTTGTTATTTATTTGTTTGTTTGTTTATTAGAAAGACTTAATAACTTGACTTTGAATGTTAAATTTGTGCATCAATGGTTAAAGTTACCATTAAACAAACTAACTTCATGCGGATTTCCAATTTAAGAGTGATGTTTGTGTGGTGACTGAGGTACCTGTGTGGCTTCCAGGATGAAGTCGTGGATGACGAGCTGTTCCTCATTAGACAAACAGAGTCTGTCAGTATTAATGAGGGTGACAGTGAAGGCCACGCAGTTCATGGGCTCCTCTCTGCTAGGCCAGTACACAAATTCATCCTCAGTCTATAAAAAGAAGAGAAGGGCATATCATAACGTATCGTATCATATCATATATCATATCATATCATATACTTATATAACACTAACAGATTTAACTAATTTATAAATGTTGAGCATGTTTCCACATATATTTAATTAATAGTTAGTTAATATCTACAAAATATTTACAAGCAAATGCAAGTGATTTTATAATAAATGTTAAACAAATTAAGCAATACATTGTAAACCAGAAATGACCAATTTCCTTATAATTTGTCTTTAATTTGTCTCTTTAGATATTTTTTTAAGTTAACTCAGTATTATATAATGTAATAATTCAACTGAACTCAAAGTACAAGTGCCATGATAACCTGCTGGTATGAAACAATTGAGAACGCAAGCTGCTGACCATTTATAAAAAGAACATAAGTTATATAACGCAGTATGAATCCACTTAAAAACTCATGTTCATAAATAGCTCTTCGACGCTGTACTCACGAGGCCAAGGTTGTCTGGCAACATCACAATAACTTGAGCATTATGATCCCAGATCATCCTCCAGAAGTCTGTGGTTGTGTGGGGCAGAGGATGTTGGGTAATGATGAACTCGTTGCTCCTGTAATAGCCCTGTGAGTGGATAAACATTGATTTCATTTTAAAAGAAAATCACAGCTTATGTTGAGACGAGCAGATAAGGAGCTGGAATGCAAGTTACACAAATACTTCATGTTCCATGCATTATTAAATATGATGAAAAATAATGTATAATGTTCCAGTAAAGTCTTGTTGCTGTACCATAATGTAGGAGGCATTGATGTAGTCTGTTCCTTTTACTCCTGGGAGGGGAGCTAGTGCCACCCGAGCCCGTTCCACTGAGGGGCAAAACATCAATGATAAACAACTCACTACAACAGTCACAGCAAACCACACCTTGTACTCTACCATTCATTGAGTCATTGTGTTTTAAAATACTGTTTGCCATTCTTTGTCACCTTTATGTTTTTTTTTTAAAGTAATCTTCCAGAAGAAGTCAATAATACGCTCAGATACACTCAGATGACGACTGTAGTCATGTCAGAAGCATATCTATTTTACTCTACATATTTATATCTACTATTTTATTCCACCCTACTGGATATTTCATTTTCCCATGGAAACAAATAGGTAGCAATGGTTATCAGGATTGGCAGAGTTGTTATTGCTAACAAAAATCAATTACAAATTTAAATAAAGAAAAAAAAATATTAGATGAAGAACTTAAAAAAATGAAATGCTGAATGCCAACTAACTGAATTAAATAAGTCAAGTACTACTTAAACTATAACTGAA